TCTTTGTGGTTTACAATGAAGCTCCTCGTAACATCATTCTGGTTCTTCTCATGCGACCTTCTCTACGTTAAAGCAGAAGTGGACGAAAGTGGCCATTTCCGTGGGCTCGGTCCTGTGAACGGCGATCCTAACGACAAATACTATCACATGCAGAAGGCTTATCTTGAGGCCATCTCTGTCCCGGAGGCTTGGGATATCGTGGACTCTGGTCCCAAGAGGACACCTGTGACCATCGCAGTTATTGACGACGGAATCGAGGCAACTCACCCTGACTTGAAGGATATCGTCATCAAGGGCTACAACGTCGTTGATTAGAATGATGATACCAGTCCACGAGGACCGCACGGAACTATGATGACTGGCATCGTTGCTGCTATCAGGAATAACAAGATCGGTATGGCGGGTATTCTGGACGAGGTGCGTATACTGCCCATATTCGACGGCAAAGGAGTGACTTTCTCCGCAATGGCGGATGCTCTCACCTACCTGATCAATGAGAGGAGTGATGATGTGAAAGTTATTCTCTTCACGGAAGGTTGCGATTCAAGGAGATCCCAAGCCGTTACCGACAAGATTCGGGAAGCAACTGAAGCTGGCATGCTCGTTGTTGTCACGGCAGGGGATGAGAACCGGGATCTGGACGTAACCCCATCCTTCCCTTGTTCCTTCGGCCGCTCTGCCACTGATGGAGTGTTATGTGTGGCTGCAACGTATGGTACCAAAATGCAGCTCACCGACGAAAGCAATTTTGGTTCAGCTGTTGACATCGCCGCTCCAGGTCACGACGTATTGGCAACTTTTCTTGGAGGGTACGGCACTTCTTCGGGCACTTCGCTTGCCGCCGCTATCGTAGCAGGTATGGCTGGGATGCTCTACGGGCAGAAACACATCTACCTTCGTTAATGAGGTTATCGACTCGTATGGAAGGAGCAATAGCTCTAGATCATGGGCACTTGTGGTATCTGCTGATATTAAGGGTGCATTCGACTCGTGCTCATGGAGTTTAATCCATAAGGAGGCCTGTCGGATTTTTCCCGAGCCATTGTGAGCTTTATTGATGACTATCTTTCTGCCAGAAAGATAGTCATCAATAAAGCTCAGAAAGTTTCTGGTCGGATTGCGAATCTTGTGACTAGCGGTCCCTCTTGCTCAAGAGAGCTAACCGCTGGGTTTCCTCAGGGATCCGTTTTGGGTCCCTACTTATGGAAGTTGGCGGCGGCTGGCATTCTTGAAGAGTTAAATGACGTTTATGGTCACTACTGTAAAGCTTACGCATACGCTGATGATTTTGTGGTCGTGGTACGTGGTATGAATAGCGAGGATCTCGTGAATAAGGCCTTGGTTACTCTTGACATCCTGGAAGCTTGGGCTAAATCGTATGGTATGGATATTGAGCCCACCAAAGTTGAGTTCTTGGTTAGGAATGGTCTCCTCGACGATATTGACCGTGAGAGGCTGAATCGGGCTGGAGCCACTACAGACTGTATTTGTATTGTTGGCATCCTTGTGGATGCTAACTTATCTTTCGGTAGACATATTTCTCACCAATGTGCCAAAGCTAAGGCCATGGTTCTGAGGGTTAAGATCTACGCCAGACTCAGTTATGGCCTTGGTGATGATGCGGTTAAAGCGGCCTGGGAGCTATTTGGTCTCTCTATCGCCACTTACGGTTCGGAAGTTTGGGGTCATAAGACCTTGAGTAACGGTGTCTATTCTACTTTAACCAAGCTTCATAATGCGATGGCGCGTGTTATGCTAAGAGCGACCGCCTCTAGTTCGACTGCTCTTCTGGGTGCCACTTGTGGTCTTCGTCACCCGGCTGGGGCCGCACTCCGTAGGTGGTGCAAGGCGTGGCTACACAACAGCTTCTACCAACACAAGCAGTTGTCCAAAGAGGCTAGGAAAGTACTCCAACAGTTGGGGTGTGGTTCTGACTATCCGACGAAATGTGAGAGATACAGGAACTGGGAGGGGGGTCGAGTCTCTTCGGAATAATTCGCGCTTGATGTGGTTGGTGGTAGTCGTGGTCGTGGGGTTGTGGATGGTTGCACTGGTCGTGGTGGTTTGGTCGATTGTGGTTGTGGTCTAGCTGGTTCTGGTGACAGCAATGGCGGTGGTGGTTTGGTCGGTCGTGGTTGTGGTCTAGCTGGTTCTGGTGACCGCAACGGTGGCGGTGGTTTGGTCGATTGTGGTGGTCTAGCTGGCATTGGTGACCGCGAAGGTCTGGTCGTTGGAGGCAGCTTGGTTGGCTGCGGCAACGGTGGTCGTGATGGCCTGGTCGTATGTGGTAGCCCGATTGGTAGTGGCATCAATCGTGGTGAAGGTCTTGATGATGGGTCTGATTCGCGGCTTGTTGAACAGGGTCTCGTTGAAGATGCTGCCCGTGGTGGAAAGGTTTTCGTGGATCGGGTATTTGGGGGACTAGTCTCCTCAGTATCTGATAATAAGCCTGAGTTGGAGTGGCTTGCCACTGCTCGCCCTTCATCCTTGAATGAGGTGAACATCTTCACTGATGGTTCAAGAAAAGGCTCTCGTCACCCACACAACGGGTTTGGCTGTATGGTAATTGCTAGATCTCATGCTCCTCTCTTGTTCTTCAGGTCTTTGACCTCTTGGTGTAAC